ATTAATCCCAAAATTCCCAAAATTATCTTGTCCGCGAACCAAACGACGCCTTAAAGCCTTATCTAAAAGACGTATAAACCACACACTTCACTCTGTGCTAATTTCCACAAGAGAGAAAAAAAAAATCAAATTGCAGGGATGAGTGACACTATGGGTATGGCGGCGCCACCGCCATCAATAAACTCAGCCGCCGGGAACAACCACAGCCGCCACCACATGATGATGCACATGACGTTTTTCTGGGGGGGAAACGCGGAGGTTCTGTTTTCCGGTTGGCCTGGATATAACAATATGGGCATGTATGTGTTGGCACTTTTCTTCGTTTTTCTACTTGCCTTTTTCGCAGAGTGGATCTCACACACCAATTATATTAAAGAGAGTGCTAATCATGTGGCTGCTGGGTTAATTCAGACCGCGTTGTACGGCGTCAGGATTGGGTTGGCTTATTTGGTCATGTTAGCTGTTATGTCGTTCAACACCGGCATTTTTCTGGTGGCAATCGCCGGCCACACGTTAGGGTTCTTAGTTTTTGGTAGTAGGGTTTTTAAGAAATCGCCATTGACGGCTTATGCTAAAGCCTCCGATCTTCCTCCCATCAGTTGTAATTGTTGACTAATTGAAATAAAATATTTAGTTGAGTATATCTTTTTTCTTCAATTCATAATTATTGGATATCTTGTAAAAAATTCACATTCTTGTGATTGCCCAAAGATTAATTCAATTAAAATTACGGAGAAAAAAAAAGAGTAAATATTACAGGCAATATGCGTGAAACAATTCCCCCATACAACTGTTTTCCATACTAAACTTTCCTTCTTTGAAATTATTTTGATTTGTTATCTGAAAAAGGTAGAATGCTTAAATATACTTATTTGCTAATATCAACAAAGATGTCCAGAAAGCTTTCAATCCCAATCTCGCATTGAATTTATCATATTATTAAAGTTATGAATTCATATTCACTAGATCTTATAATTTTAGTAAATTTTTACACATAAATTTATGTCCCACCTCAAAAGTTACGAATTCAATTGAACATGTAACTATGGTGCTAGATGCGCCACTACTTTTAGGTGTTGTTTGATACGGTGATTGTAAAAATATGAATTCTTTAACTGACAATATATAAAGAGTATTATATGACGAATGATAATACACAGAGTGCTACATGGGAATACATGAATTTTTATGTAAATATTGTGACATTGAAATCAATACCTTTATAAGAAAAAATAAGAAGAAATATAAGAAACTTTACTGCAAATGATTTGGGACGTGAAGACTGAACCCATTGGAATTTGGTGAAACTTGGACATCAATTTTGTATCAACTTGTCATGTCATGCAATTTAGCACTTGTCTAATTTCCTCATAAAATTTGCATGTCTTTTGGAAGTATTAATGGGATTGAAAAGGGATGAAAGGTAAAGAGAAAGGGATGAAAGCCAAGGTTGCTACTACTTTTCCAATCAAATTTCAAACATGTGATTTGCCTTTTCATACCTTGCTGTGTAGGCCAAATCACCCGTCCGCGGAAAACTAACAGCTATGTCAAATATATAAGTAGTTTATTAAAAAATTAACTAATTTATAAAATATTATCAATATTAATCAATTAGTTATTTGTAGCCAAAAAAGGTTAAATTTTTGAATGGATGTTATTAGAATATATTTGGTACATCTTATGGAGATTGAATCTCAATTTTGGAATAATTCGATGGAGTTTTGAGATGGTTTGAATTGAAAATTCAAAGAACATGAAAAAAATAGTTTGTGCATCATATTTATATCAAATGTATATCCATGTATACTTGTGTGTGCGATACATGTGTTGCAGAAGAATCTTTTGAACTCGATTTTAACTACAAAATCTGATACCAAATCAGTCCAAATCACCTATGATCTTCCTCAAATTTTGTATATTGACCCATCTATATATTTTCAAAGAATTTCAACCATACCCATTGAAAAAGGTCATTTTTGCTAAGATTATTGGAATCTTTGTGTGTGTGTGTGTATATATATATATATCCGTCTAGCGCCTTTCGGTTGGGTTCCGCCCTAGGGGTTAGGTTAGACCGCTTATTTTTTTTTTCTAGTATCGAAGGCAGTCAGCGTGTCAGCCATTAGACTTTTCAGTCTTTTGCTCTTTTTCCTTCTCTCTTCCGGTTCTCCCCCTCTACTTTATTTGACAGGGGCAGAGAATACCATTTTATCAATAACAAGAAAAAATTAGCAATTATGTTTCAAATGGTTTGAGCTTGGAAGCAACCATATATATATATATATATATATATATATATATATATATATATATATATATATATATATATATATATATATATATATACCTTGTTTGCTACCTCATTCATAAATTTTCATTTTCGTCTTGCATCTAATGTCGTTGCTCACGCTTAAAAATATAAAAGGAGATCTTTGCATGTGATTCTTGGAGAAAAAGAACCTCATTTATTTGGGTTCTCAATTTTTGTATGTGTTTGGCTAGCATTGGTAATTAATGGATAGTAATACACAGTCAAGTAGACAACAGTGAGTTGCTCTAGTGGTAAGCACCCTTCGCTTCCAACCAAGAGGTTGTGAGTTTGAGTCACCCCAAGAGCAAGATGGGGAGTTCTTGGAGGGAGGGAGCCGAGGTTCTATCGGAAACAACTTCTCTACCCCAAGGTAGGGATAATGTTTGCGTATATACTGGGTTGTTGATGTTGTTGAAAATCTAAAAATAGCACACAAATTGGGACAAATGGAGTATGAGTTATGAATAAATTTTAAAAATTAACAGTAAAAATTTACAATTCTAAAAATCTTTTTTATATCAAGCTTTGGATTTTCGTCCAACTTAAGGTTGATTATTATTCCTCCTACTTAGAGCCATCAAAATAAATTTGGCCCGTAAAGTTGAATCAACCCAACTCGATAATTTGTGGGATTGGTAAATACATTTTCAATAATGAAATAAATCAAGAAAAAATTAATAATAAAAAAAAATCACTTTATTTCGACTATAAAAAAGTCACTTTATAATATTAGTAAAAAAATTCACATATTTTTTTTGATTTATCCTACTTGTCACAAGTATTTGCACTTTTCCAGGCCCTATATAAGATTGACGTTTCAATCCAACCTCAGGCCGATTTGAACAAATAGAATCAGTTAGTATCGTCGTTTAAATTTGACCTTGTTAAATAGTAAGTTTTTAAAAAATAATCTTATATCAGAATTTTAAAGCATATTGTCAAACTTTTGAAGTACACTATCAAAAATTTAAAATATACTGTCAATATTTTAAAGTACATTACACGTTGCTATAATTTAAAGCATGCTGTCAGAATTTTGAAGTATGCTACAAGAATAGAGAACTAATCTTATATGAATGAGGAGATATAATAATTTATATTTTCACGCACAATGTTGTCAATAGTCAATACTAAATATTAGTGTACATAATAGTTCACATGAATGAAGATCTTATTAATTTGAGGGTAGGATACATATAATCTGCCAATTGGCTATACTTATTCCCCATATACCATCATTGCTTCTTCTCGAGGACCTTCTACCTCTACGCGGCATTGCTCTGTCAGGCTTTCGCCCATTATCGAAAATTGCTAACTACTACTAAAATTGTTCAACTTGAATTGTGAAAGTATGAATAGTCATTTTCAGGAAGAAAGAAGAAAAAAAGAATTATTAGTTTCTTTTAAAATAGATACTTGAATACCAAGATTTTTAATTGGTTATTTTTTCATTAANGGGGTGTTTCTAATTTGATAAGATTCGAAAATGAAGGTTCATTTAAATTTTGTGAGGGAGAAAGAAGGGATACAAGGGAGGTAGACTAAAGAGAGGAAGAAGTATATAAATAGCCAGCTGATCTAATATTGGTAGTATTTATTGTAATTGGCTAATTTCGATAGTATTTTATGTTGATAGCATATTTGCTCTGAAAAGCTAAACGGAGTAGTTTTCTTTATATATTAATTTGAAATGAGAATTAATTGAGTGACAAGATCAATAAAAATTCACATAATCAACCGTGAGGTTGAGGCATCGTCACTTTTTTTTTAATTTGTCGCCTTTTTGTTTGTAAAACAAAAATGATTATTTCTAACCCTATACCTATTTTTGTTGTATCAATTAACTTTTGAATGATCGTGTTTGTATGCGCTTTTAGGGGCTTCCAAAAGTGATGAAGATGCGAGGTCAATCAAAGTGATTAGTGTATATAGGTATTTGTTTTTATTAAGTTTGTGGTAGAATTCAGAAATAGCATAAAAAATCATTACCAATATTTCACCAAAGCTTTACTATTTGTTCAGATTAATATTAATAAAAGTCGATTTCATTCATAATCAACCTCATAAGAGTAAAAAATTTTTTACTTTTGAGGGTTTTATATTTAGGCGAGTACATAAATAACCCTTAATGAGGATGTTTTAAATTTTTGTTCCCATTTGCCCTATGGACATAATTTCAAATTTAACAAGTGTTGTCCCTTGCATGTCCCATGAATAACATTTTTAACTTTTAACCTTTATGCCCACGGGGCAAGCTAATGTCAAAAGTAAAGACCACCCAAAAAGATAGAAACGAGACCAAGTATCCACTCTAACAGACTGCTATTTAGGAATCAACCAATGAATTCTGAATTTTAGTTTTTTAGTTCAATTTTTCAGGATACAAATATCCTGAAATTAAGATTTAGTTGAAATTTTAGGATAAAATAAGTATTGGTTAATTCTTAAAAGCATCTTAAAAGTGGCTATTTGTGCACTTCGTCCCCCAAAAGTGTCATATTTCTGCAATTTTTTGCTTATATTTTTACAAGCTCCAAAGCCTCAAACGGGTTGTAATAGGTGACACGCACGGCACGTGACAAACTTGACGAATTTGAATTCGTTCGGACCTAAGCGTCTTTGTTTCAAATTCAGTTTAATTTATTGTAACGTTGGGATCCTCATTTTGAATATATTGCCCTTCAAAAACATCACACTTTTGTTCCAATTTTTTTCAAACAGCACACTACTGACCGCCCCCCCCCCCCCTTATCAAACCCCTAACGGGCATCTCAAATCTCTCTTCGCAGTTAACTCATTCATCCTCTCAATCCCCCGAACTGACTTCATTTGAATCTCTGATTCGAAATTTGTATCCAAAATCCTTATTATATTCACTAGGTTAGTTCTTTTGTGTTTGTATAGATGCGTGGAGGTAGAATTAGGTCATTTTTTTTTGTACTTTAGTGTGGTTTGTTGTGGAGCTTTAACTAGAAGACTCAATTTTTTGAACCTACGATATAGAATTTTTGTGCTAATTGCTGATTTTTAGTTATGAGTTGGAATTGTTTTTGTTTTTGTATTTTTGGTGTTTATATTTGAATGTATAGTAGGAAAATGTAGTTTTTTTATTTTAGCCCTAGCTGGTATCTTATGATTTTTCTGATGGTATTCTGTTTGAATATCCAATTGAACATTATCGGCATTTTTGATTGTATTAAAGAGTTCAAATTTATCATTGTTAGATGCATGGAGGTATAATTTTTGGTTATTTATTCTATTTTTCGTGATTTATTGAGTGCCTATAAGAAAAGGTGGTTTCGAAACTTTAATTGGAAATTTTGACTGTTTCAATCGGTAATTTTATTGAGGAGCTTGTTTTTTTGCAGATATTTATATGTGGTCTTCGAACTCTAGTTTTTGTTTCATTCCTTGTATTTATCTTCCGAGATTGAATCTCAAGTCAGTGAAATTTTATGCGCCTTCTTGATTGTATTCATGAGTTTAAATGGAGGTAGAATATCGGTTATTTCTTGTAATTCTCCCTGAATTGTCTGTGCATAGATGGAACATGTGGTTTGAAAACCCCAACTGGAACCTTTGACTCTTTCAATTGGTAATTTGTTTGAGGAACTTTTGTTTTGCTGCTATTCATTGTGTGGTCTGATTCAGAACTGCGTTTCTAGGGTTGGCATTGAGCGGCAATGGAGACTTCCGAGGGCAAGGACACATCACAATGCGTGAGAGTTGCCGTGAACATCAGACCTCTGGTTACTTCTGAGCTTCTAATTGGATGCACTGATTGTGTTACAGTTATCCCTGGTGAATCACAGGTGCTCTTAATTAAATATAGATACAATACTTATGTGCTTAGTGATCATTTGTTATGATGAGCATTTTTAATTAAATAATTGAACTCATTACATTTGTAAAAGTTTTAGTAGTTCAGTGCCGACTTAATTAAATTATCATATTTGATCGTACAATGTGGTGGACTAATGAAGTTTAACTATCATATTTGATTGCATCACAAGTATGCTCTGTAAACTGATTTGGCTTTTTTTGATGTTCTTGACCACAAACAGGTGCAAATTGGATCACATGCCTTCACATTTGATTATGTATTCGGGAGTGGGGGCTATCCATCTTCACGTATATACGATGAGTGCGTTTTGCCACTTGTCGATGCTTTGTTCCAAGGCTTTAATGGAACTGTGCTAGCTTACGGTCAGGTAAGATGCTAGTAGTTCTGCTCATTTCTTGGTGGTTTTCCTAGGTCTAGTCTTACTTGCATTTTATCTATTTTTGCACAACTCTATTTGATATTGTTATGTCCTTGGATTGAATGTACTATCTTGACATATATGAGACTAACTAGCATGCATTCTGCAATGATATGTGCTGAAGACGGGTTCCGGCAAAACATATACAATGGGAACAAACTTTAATGGTGAAGAGAAGACCGTCGGAGTAATACCAAACGTCATGAATACTATATTCTCAAAAGTAGAGGTGATGAAGGAGTCCACAGAATTACTGATCAGAGTATCCTTCATTGAGGTGTAGAAAGAGAACTCTGGTATTTCATTAGATATATGTCCTTGCAAAATAAAAATGACATGCTCATTATCTTAAAAAATTTTATCCTTGCAGATTTTTAAAGAGGAGGTGTTTGATTTACTGGATGGGCCGGCTAGGGTTCCCATTCAAATACGGGAGACTGTTCATGGAGGAATTACGTTGGCTGGTGTGACGGAGGCAGTAGTTAGGACGAAAGAAGAGATGGCATCCTTCCTGTTGCGAGGATCTGTGTCTCGTGCCACTGGAAGCACCAAGATGAACAGTCAGTCAAGGTATGCATCACCTTAAGAATGACTTTGTTTATGTTGAATGGATTTCACTCAAGTTTCTATTAGAATAAATTTTGTGGTTTTCTTCATCTAGTCGTGGAGTTACATATCTTCTGCTTTTTTTTTTTTCAACAGTCGATCTCATGCCATATTTACAATTACATTGGAACAAAAGAGAATGGCTAATTGCTCGACGAACGATGATGGTGATGACATATTATGTGCCAAGCTTCATTTGGTTGACCTTGCTGGTTCAGAGCGAGCAAAGCGAACTGGAGCTGATGAGATGCGTTTACGAGAGGGTAATGACAATTATATTTTTGGAAATTTGACTGAACTATGTATTTATTTTGTAACGCTACCATTTGAGTGAGACACTACTGACTAGATGGATAATCTCTCATATAACCCCAGCTTACCTGATTTTTGTTTCTTCAACTATTTATCTCTCAAAATAAAATGTGCATATCCAGCATTCATCTTTTGGGCATTCTGGTGCAGGTATTCATATCAACAGGGGATTGCTTGCTCTTGGCAATGTAATAAGTGCCCTTGGTGATGAAAAGAAGCGGAAAGAAGGTGCACACATCCCATACAGAGATAGCAAGTTGACACGTCTCTTACAGGCATGGACTTCCGCAGCCCTCACTGGTTTCTGCTTTTGACTTCTTAAATCTTTAATTATACTATTAGTTATAGTTACTTTCTGCAATACCTTCTTTTAAATGTAATTATAAACTAAGCTGAATCACATTGAAGACCAAGAACAATTGAGGATTTGCATACAGAAGTAGGCAAGTTTTAATCTGAAGAGGAACCAAATGAAAGAAATATAGCACAAGAACTCTAACTCAGACACTAGTATAAGGAGATTCTCCTCAATGAGCAACCAATACTATATGATTGCCTGTAATTGGACGCAAATGTTCTGACAGGGTAATTTTTGCGTACATTTGTTTCAGGACTCACTTGGAGGAAACAGCAAGACAGTTATGATTGGTATACTTTACTATTACAGGCAGTAAAATTATTGCTTGATTTGTTTACTTTACAAGATTGGCATTGTAGTTGTGTTAATATATGTTTGTAATTAATGTTGTTCTCGTTCTTCTTAAATGTATGAAGCTTGTGTCAGTCCTGCTGACACCAATGCAGAGGAGACCCTTAATACTTTGAAGTATGCAAATCGTGCTCGCAACATTCAGAACAAAGCTATCGTAAGTTCCAATCTGCCTAACAAGATCATCATAAGTTTCGTATTGTTTCTGAACGTATCCCTGTTTCGTAGGTCAACCGTGACCCAATGGCAGCCCAAATGCAAAGAATGAGGAGTCAAATTGAACAGTTGCAAGCTGAGCTTCTTTATGTACGTGGAGACTCTGGTGCACCTCTTGAAGAACTCCAGGTAAAATATTTTTTTAGTGAGCAAAGACTGGTGTTTTCAGCATTTCCTAAGATCATCTGTGTGTAGAGGAGACAATTAGTACTATCCATGACGTTTTAATATAATATCTATCTGCACCAACCCTTCAAAGAAACAGGATAAGGGGCCTGGACTGATGTGCTTGGCAAGAGATATTTGACGTGTCAGTACTATCCATTGACAACGTTGAGTCTATGTGTTTGTTGGGCAGATTCTCAAGGACAAGATTTCTTTGCTTGAAGCAAGCAATGTACAGCTACGGAAGGAGCTTAAAGAACGCCGCGTTAGCTGCGAACATTTAGCAAAATGTGCCGTTGATGCACAGGTTTGTTTAGTTAACATTAGCAAAATATTTTAACTTTAACTGTGAAATGGCTCGATGCCTAGAAGTCTCTAATAAGGATCTGATGTGACAGGTAGAAAGGGATAGACTAATTTTGAAGATTGAATCTGCAAAAAATGGTCGACCTTGGAATGAGATAGACCATTCTGATCAGGTTTGAGCGAATTACTACTGAAACTTTTTTCGTGTTATTTGTGAATTCGCAGAATTTCTGATTTGGGTTCTGGAGGTCCCTTTCTCCAGGATTTGGACTTGGTCAAAAAATATGTGACCAAAATTCAACAACTAGAGGCAGAGTTGCTTCACTTACAAAGCTCCAGTAGTTCAAAGCATGGTGAACCTGTTGACTATCTTGGATTGGACTATGCTGAGCTTCTATCAAAGGATTCATGTTCGGAGGATTCTGACATCAAAAGTGTAGATACAAGTGGTAAGCAGCTTTTAACTAATGCATGATAGTCAATAACCATTCTGAGTATCTGTCCCTTTGCCACATATCTTTGTCTTGTTTAATTCCAATAGTAATTTCTTTCTCCAAGCCCTATCGGCTTACTAATTGGCTGATGCCAAACTTGCTGTGTGAAGGTGAGGCTGAAGTCGAGGAGAAAGAGCTTGAACATTCTTCTCTTCAAGAAAAATTGGATATGGAGCTCAAGGAGTTGGACAAAAAACTTGAACAGAAGGAGGTAGTTTTGCTATTCCTGATGCAGCTTTATAGATACTTTCTGGCAATTCAGTAAGGAGCAGAACTAAAATTTTCGATAATACTTGCTCTTCTATTGCTGGTTCCTTATTCAAGTAATCTTTGCTAGAAAATCAAGCTGCCTAAGCTTAAGACTATGAGAGACTTCTGGGACTTAAGAGAGGGATCTACCTAAGATGGTGAAAGCTGGAGAGATCTAGTAATGTCCTTAGCTGTTTTGACAGAACCTTGTAGCTATAAACTCTTGATGTTTCTGAGTAGTACTTTTACTTTGACGAGTCAGTGAAATAGACGAGTTATCATAAATGAGAAAGGCTATCGTTTCATTCTGTATGTGCCTTTTGACTAATGACCTACTGTGCTTGAATATGTTGTCAAACTAACCTATCTGATAACATCATGATGATGCTGGTCTTTCTTAGTTCTTAGTATCATTGGAATAGGTGTTACCTTTAAGGGAAAGGTGGTAGGACTCGACTAATTCGTACTTCTGTTTAAATCATCAGACAACATTTAAGAGGGAGTAAAAATCATAAAGCGGAGATTGCTTTATTCTTTTATTAGTTTTTGCAAGCTTTTTGTTCCTTTAAATTTTCTTTTTTGATGTAACTCTCTTGGATTTAGTTGGGTTACAGTGTGAACAACAATTTCAAAGAAATGTATTCACTACTTGTCATTGCTGCTTTATTTATTTAAGTAATAACATGTCACTTGTCATTGTTGCTTAATAAAGTACTTTCTTACTTCTCTCTCCTAACTTATTGTCTCACCTACTAAAGGCTGAAATGAAGAGGTTCACAGCAGTTGATACCTCAGTTCTTAAGGAACACTATGAAAAGAAAGTCCATGAGTTGGAAAAAGAAAAGAGCGCTCTGCGGGTAAAATGCTCTATCTGTTGACACCAAAGGTTTATTCATGATTTGTCCTTGTCTTACTATTGATTTTCCATTCTGATGCAGAAAGAAATTGAAGCTCTTCAGCGCAACCTTTCTAACATTTCATCAAATTCTGATGAAAGTGCTCAAAAGCTGAAGCAAGACTATCTTCAGAAATTAAATCTTCTAGAAGCACAGGTGGGCTTATTAAATATATGCACCTATCAGTCAAGACATTAGCTCTTATATGCGGCGATGGTTTATTATCTTTCTCTTCAACTCAATCCTCCAGCCACCTAGCGGAAGGGAAATAACAGAACTGTACAATGATAAATACACCCTCATAATTCATTGCATCTGCAGGTTGCTGAGTTGAAGAAGAAGCAGGATGCTCAATCACAGCTTTTGAGGCAAAAACAGAAGAGTGATGATGCAGCAAAACGTCTTCAGGATGAAATCCACAGAATTAAGTCACAAAAGGTACTAACAATCTAAGTGTCCGAGCGCGTGTCCGATTTCGGTGCGGATCTAGTGTTCAGATCCTTCATGATCTAAATTTTAAGATTTGGGGATACGGATCCAGGTAGGGATACATGTGCAGTGGTTCGGCAAGAAATAAGTCAAATATCTAAAAATAGAGTTATAAAAATATGTCGAAATTATGAGACGTAATATGAAAAACTTACAAGGTATTCAGAGAAGGAGAAAATATTAATTAAGAGGAAAATCCGAGAAGGAGATAAAAGGAAAAGACTGACATAGAAATTTCTATAGACAAGATACTCCATTTTCTTCAGTTTTACCCTAGTCTTTGTTTTGACTTTAGAAATCATTGTATCTATCCCGAATTTCTCTGCCGATTTTGGTCAAAGTACCCAAAATCAGCTGACCAGATCCGGTACAGATTCCACACCCACACCCACGTCGTGTTGACACGGGTGTGGCATCGAAAGTAAAGAGTCCAAGCAACTTAGCTAATTATTACGTATATCAGGCACTTTTGAATGTAAAAGAACATTTCTTCTCATGCAGCTGACTCATTTTTCTGCATCTCTAGGTTCAATTACAACAAAAGATAAAACAAGAATCTGAGCAGTTCAGGCTGTGGAAAGCATCAAGGGAAAAGGAGGTTCTTCAGGTATTATTGATGTAGTTTTGAGTCTATAATTTACAATTTTATGTATGAAGCTTGCGTTCATTTTAAGCTGTAATCCTAAATTTTCTAGCTGCCCATGAAAATTCAGAACACACCTGTCGTAAATAAATTTGGTTCCTGCAGTTAGAAGTAGAATATCTGATTCTCTCTTTCTCTCTCTCTCTCTCTGTGCGCGCGCGCATGCACGCCATTTAGAATTATACATTCTTTTCTCTGCTATTACCTGACATTCTTTTTCATTGTTAGACTGATTACGAAATATCTCAAGTCTCTCTTATGTTTGATAGGTGTCTAGTATCCCTATTTTATTTAATCATCTAATAGAGCATATTCTCTTTTAATTAACGTGCAGTGGCTATTCAAAAAAAAAAAAAACGTGCAGTGACTTTTTTCTTTGACTTTGCCTGTATTGTCTCTGTTTTTGTCTTTCTATATGAGAAATTTTATTCATTTTCTTGCTTTTTAAAGAAGATAGATATAGCATAGTATCTTGTATCCAGAGGGTAAACTTCCTTTTACTGCTGCGAAGTTCATGTTTTTGTGACTAACTTTGTCATGTGTTGTCTCAACAGCTTAAGAAAGAGGGAAGAAGGAATGAATATGAGATGCATAAGCTCATGGCACTGAACCAGAGGCAAAAGATGGTAAAGTCCTCTTGGAGTTCGTTAACCATGCAGCTCGGAAAGTATCACATGGCTTACCTTTAAATGCTGTACAGGTGTTGCAGCGGAAAACTGAAGAAGCTGCAATGGCCAGTAAACGACTTAAGGAGTTGCTAGAGTCTCGAAAAACATCACGTGAGATGGCAGGTCAAGCTGCTAGTGCCGCAGGATTCCAGGTATCGGTGCCCAGAAGGAGTCACTTTTGCATATGTTTTTCATCATAAAAATGTTTGCCATTCAAAACTATCTTCAAATCCTTCTACAGAGAATTTACAAGACCATTCTTCTTGTTCATAGAATCTATCATCAAAGACCTTCCTTGGGAATATAAACTTTTGCAACCAGTTAATTATTTGTTTTGCAATACAGGCATTGATGCAAGCAATTGAACATGAACTTGAAGTTACTGTATGGGTGCATGAAGTGCGATCAAAATATGAGCGTCAAATGCAAGAGTAAGTTCCGTCAATTCTTTATGATTGGATGAACTTGTCATACAAAACACTAATTATCACTAACGAGGAGGCTCTAATCTTAAACCCTTTTATTGTTTATTGGGTTTAACCGTCAAATTTTTTCTATTTAGCGCTTGAAAGTTTTTAGGTTGTTGCCTTTCTGCCCGGATTGTATGCATCTACTATTTTCAATCTTTTGCAATTAAGGGCATCCATTTTTTAACAATATCAATCAACTACTGGCTGACCTCATCATTTGATGCATCTTCGAAATCCTCCATGTGGTGGGAAGGTGCAATCAGGACACATCAATGACTTATGCATAATACAGATGTATAAATTAAAGCTAAGGTGATGGTAGAGATAGTAGCATTAGGAGTTGTGGCATTTGAAATGGTCACTAGTGATCAATCAACTTGGCAGTTAGGGCCCCTAGGGCTTAGTTCAGGTGGCAAGGGTTGAGGGACTTGTGACTTGGTCACAGGTTCGAGCTTTACGCAATGCAAAGTAAGCCTGATATTTAAGTGGAGAAGGGTAGAGGGGCGGATTCATTATTCCCGAGTATTAAAAAAAAAATCAACTTGGCAGTTAGGAGAGTTGACATGTTTATGTTTCTGAGAGCTAATATTTGGTGAGTGGTGCAGGATCTGGGTTTTTATATCATGTAAAATTCATGGGATGATAGTTGGGGGGGATTTGTTTTCTTTATATTTAACACCCATAGCACATAGTAATACCAAGATGATCTCTTGCTTTGTTGGGCAAACTGGAATTGAATTGGCCTGTATACCTTCTGTCCACGGGTAACTAAATGGACAAGATTCTGTTCTTATCCAATCCACCCACTTCACCATTCTAGATATCTTAGCTCCTTGGTAGTCCGAGAATGTTCTACTTATATTCAGTCAATTACTCTTTTCTTGTCAAAATATTCAGTCATATTCAGTCGATTACCCTCTCCATTTGGAAACTGTATCAAGTCGTAACGTGCCAAGATTGGTGCAGTATATGAAGGCTCAGCAATGGCTATGATCTTTGAATAATTCATGTTTTTTTGTAGAAATTTCATTTAGCGTTCATATATTGGATCAGTATATAAAAAAGTTAGATTCATGGTGTAGTATATTTTATAGCATTGACACCAAGGATTCGGGGATTCAGTTTCTCACACACTATTTCATATTCCATATTTCTATTAGCAGTGTTATTTCTTCAGTATTTGTTACATAGCTTGGATATCAGAGATAGCAGTGCTCTTTATTAAATAAATAAACAAACGAATAAAACAAAACTTTAAAATCAGATATAGCAGTGCAACTTTTGTTTCTTTTCATAATTTATGCGATATTTTGAACTGCAGGAGAGCAAGAATGGCCAATGAGGTTGCAGAGTTGAAGTTGCAAAACCTGAGGTAAAACTTTTATCGGCAGTAATGTTTTCTAAATGCATTCTTTCTGAATTTGTATTGTTTATGGCCTTATTAACATAATTACTTCTATGTAATTGCTTTCACAGTGATTGCATGTCTCCGAGTGTAAGAAGTTCCAGGATAAGCGCACTTGAAAACATGCTTGCCATTTCATCTAGCACACTTGTTTCCATGGCATCACAGTTGTCGGAAGCAGAAGAGCGTGAACAACGTACCTTTAGTGGTAGGGGAAGATGGAACCAAGTTCGGTCTCTTGCTGATGCAAAAAATATTATGAACTTTTTATTTAACCTCGCATCATCTTCTAGGTAAATGCATTTAAAACATGCAAGTTTTTGCTGATGTTAACTTTACTGAGACAGATTGTAACTGTTGTCTTGGTCTTGGTTTCCCCTAGATGCCAGCTAAGGGATAAAGAAGTTGAATGCAGAGAAAAGGATGCTGAAATCATGGAGTCGAAGGAAAAAGTTGTAAATTTGGTCAGACAGCTAGCGTCGCAAAAGAGTGAAATGAGACAGCTAGAGTTGCAAAATAGTGAACTGATTAAGCAGGAGAAGTTGATGGTCAGTACATCTTTTAAACGAATTAGCATAATTGTGATTGGGTAGCTTCTAATTAACTTGCATTTGTCAAAGAAGAAACTCAAGTTATTTTTCAAGTCGAGGCACTTGCTTCACTTTAAGTATTGAATTTATTAATTGTTGAATCTTTTACCAAGGCAAATTTTAATATTGTCAAGGTTTCTTTATTAAGGCAAGTCTTTAAGTTTGAAGTCCTTTCACTCTGTTTTTTTCACTATTATTTTTCCCTGGGAGGTTTGCGAGATACAAGCTATTTTTAAACAGAGTACAGATGTTGAAGGATTATACATCTCTTCTATAGCAGGAACTGATGAATATGAAAAGTGGAGAATGTTTTTTGATCAATGCATTGTCTTCATGTTAATTTGCTTAAGTTTTGTCTTTTTGCCTTTGCATCAAATCAGACCTGAGTAGCAAACTTTGTGATGTCTGTGCCAATTGAGTTACCAAGAAAACACGTTTACAAGTGCCTACTGAATAACAGGGAACTTCATATTGTATCTGATATAGATTGTAATTCTACTTCCTGTGCAAGTTGATAGTCTACAGAAAAGTATAAAAGTTACAGATTCTTGATTGGTGAATGTGCTGGCATTACTGACGAGTTGTTTTCTGCTCTTGATATGACCTCTACCTTCTCAATTGGGATTGTGACAGAATTTAAAAGCATAATATTTCATATTCCTGCATTAAATTTTTTTCTTGTTTGGATTGCTTACAGAAATTGGCTTTAGAACACCACAAGGGAAGGACAAACAACTCTGACTCTAATGTGCAAAGTAACATTGACGGGCACGATTATGACCTGAGACAAAAGGCATATATCTCATACTCTTGAATAATTTATCAATTTTGGGTGTTCACAAATTAGGGGTTGCTAACCGTGTGCCTTTCTACAGGGAAACCGGAGTTCCTTACTGTACAGTGGGGGATGGAACAAAATTGAGCTAGAAGATATGGACACATCTGATTCAGATTGTGACCAGGACAGAACTGACACTGATTATGGCACAATATGTTGTTCTTGCAGTAAAAAATCTGAATGCAAGACATCTAGATGTGAATGCCAGGCTGTAGGTGTTTCCTGTGGGGTATCATGTGGTTGCCTCCCTAACAAATGCAGCAATAGAGCGGTATCTTCTACCAAGGAAGACAACCAATTGCCCTCATTAGATATTGTAGGTGACGAGGGAAACACATCGGGAACTGATGAAGCTGAGATGCGTCAAACACTAGCATCTCAAGGCGCAATGCTTCTTCAGAATGCACTTTCTGAAAAGCCTATGGAGTCAAAGGATAAGGGTGAAACAAAAAGAAAGCCACTATCTGATATTGGAAACTCCTTGGTACGCAATCCTGTAACTGTCTTTTTTCAGGGTTTTTTTCATGGCTAGAAGCATGTGTGCTGATCTATTCAAGTTCCTTCTGCAGAATAATGTGGATTCTTGCAGTTAACCTTTTCTTACTTTTGCAATGCTACAGGCGAAATCAAAAGCACCAAAACCCGACAGGCGGAAGAAATGGGGGAAATCTGTTATCCAACTTGTTCCTGCTGCTCCTACAACTCAAGCAAGTAATGCAGATGGCAGTGTTGATGCAGCGGTGACAGAAAACAAGGTTAATGAGATTGATAGTACTTCTCCATTAAAACTACCAAGAGCCATGCGTTCTGCGTTAACAAATGGAAACAACACTTTGAGAGAAAGGAATTCTGAGACTAGTGATCCAGTTATTGACCTGATAACACCTCCAGCTTCTGCTAGAAGTCCTCACAGGCCGGCAAACACATCGGATGGAAAAGAAAATTGAGTGAATGAGTTGTGTATTTGTTCGACTCTAATTGTATGTATAGGTTGATTACATGACTTTTGATCACGATGTTCTGCCACTTGTTTTTTGTTTTTTTAATGGCTAATCTTTTCCTAACCTGAAAAAGAGGTGCCTCAATTGATTGGGAGGTCCTGGTCTTTGTATTAGGTCACTGGATGCTCTAAACTGAAGAGCATCTCTGTAGTGATTCTCCAAACTTATTCCAATATTTAAGTGAAATTGATTTTTTTTTCAGTGTGAAGAAGCTCAAGTTTTATTTCACATGAAGCAACATAACACCTAGTTTTTGTGCATGTTAAAAACAAGTTCTGGAAAATCAATGTTCGTAACATATCTCAAGGGAAGTTAGTCTTATTTCTAGTAATCTGATAAATTTTGTAATTTTGACTTCTTGCTATCTGATACTATAGATAGCCATGGTGAAGTATTGTAAAAAAATTCTGAGTTTCAATAATTTATACCTCGTACAGTAATAAAATTCTACTTTGGTTGTCAAAACACAAGCACCATTTGAAATATTTTTCTATTCATTCACCACAATATTCTTTTTGATTGCTCTCAATTACTACTATTTCTAGTGAAAGATAATCACAGAAATACATCTCTAGTGAGATTACAAAATTCTGTTAGGGAAACAGTAGCTAGCAATATGATCGCTCTTCGACCAAGAAGGGTGGCAAGTGGGCCGGTCCAAGCCCAGGACCGGCTCGAGACAACGGGCCAGGACCGTTTGGCCCGGTTTTAGTGGGCCTGGGCCGGTCTCGTGGGTCGGTCCTATGATTTGGGCCCGTCAGGCCCGGGACCGTTTAGCCCGCCAGAGCCCGGTCCCTTAACGGGCCAAACAGTCCCAACGGCTATTTTTTTTTTTTTAAAAAAAAACAATATAGCCGTTGGGCTGTCAAAAATAGCAGTTGG